CGTTCTCTCGGATTCGACCGGAGATCACCGTTTTTCCGTTAAACGGGATTTAACGGGGCCCCTGGGGCGATTCAACGGGGTCCAATGGAATTTAACGGCCCCCGTTGCCCGTTGTTCGGACACACAGGCGGTCGGCATTCAACGCTCCCACCCTGATGGCTTGCTAAATACTGAAATCAGGGTACTAGGAGCGTTCAATGCTGACACGTACGTAAAACTTTCATAAAGAAGAAACTGCTGCCTGCCTTGGACCACCCAAGCCGATCATCATGGACAATGTGTTCCACCTCATCGTAGTGGGGATGTGCAGGGTGCGATAGAGTAAGCTGGCCACATTCGTCTTTACCTTCCTCCATACTCCCCGTTCTTGAATCTTGAATGCAGCAGAACGTGTCTTTGGGCATGTCAAGACCCGTGTTTGATCGTGAGGAGATTGGGGGGCAGGGGAATCTGATTGATGCAATCAACGGGGGTCTTTTGCGGATCACTGCTGAGATGTGCCAATGATGGATTAGAGAGGTGACACAAAACTTCGGCAAAGCTAATCTAATCGAGGCGAAGTTCTAGGTTGACAGTTTACGGGAGCAGCAGGGCCCGACGGCCCGTGATTCAGACGCATGTGACTAACATGCAAAATCTCTTCACTAATTGATATCTTTGTTGGTGCCGATGGGCTGTGCAGGATATCAAATGGGTTGATTGTTGGACTGAGGGCCTCGCCGCACAGTGCAAGAAACAAAAAAAAAAACGACTTCGTGTCGTGAAGTCGTGGCCGCGTAGCACACACACGAACTGTGTCAGGAAAAACTCGTGAATGCTGTCAGCCTCCGAGCTCGCGAGGCCTCACGAGTGTGCCGACTCCTCCCTGCCTGCAGCCCTCGCGAACTCGTAGGTCCTCCGCTGGTAGGCTGGAGGAGCTGCGAAATTTCACGAGAATGCTGCATCGCTCCAAACGAAGTCCATCCAAGAACTTGAACCGTAGCGTCCACAAATTTGGACTGTAGCGAAACAAATCTCCCACTACTGTCGCCAGGGCGTTGTCGCTTGAGTTTTCGTGTGTGCTGTGGGGCGGTGAGGCAAAAAGCGAAGCGAAACGGTGGATCAGGGCTTCGTGAGGCCTCACGACTCTGGTGATCGTTTCGTTTCGTTAGTTGTGCCATGCGGCGAGGCCCTGAATGTGGTTTTGGCAATTATACCAATTTGGTTAATCAATCTGCCAACTCTATCAAGCGTCCAAACTGTTAAATCCTTTCGTCCAAAACGCTCATCATTTCCTCCCAACCTATATCCGGTATGTCCAAAATGCTCGTTGTTTCTCCCAACCTAAATCTGCCAGTGGGTATGTCCAAAATGCTCATCACTTCTCCCAACCTATATCGGCTGGCCAAATCAATTCTGATTATGTACTAAATAGGAAAATCGAACTGACCAACTCTGATATTACCAATAACGGGCCCAGTGCCCAAGGCTGATATTACCAGTGCCCAAGGCTGATATTACCAGTGCCCAAGGCTGATATTACCAATAAGAAGATTGAGGCCCAGTGCCCAAGGCTGATATTACCAATAAGAAGATTGAGGCCGGGGTCCTCACAGTCTGCCCGGAGTAACCGAACCGAACTTGCTGAGAACCGGGCTCAGTGTCCCTCATATGGTGATGATAATGATCATGATGATGATAATGATACTACTGATGATGATGCTAATGATAATGAAAATTAGTGTAAAAAGGAGACTATGCTATATCAGCAATTCTGACCAATTCGGTTTGATGGCTGTCCAACTGAATTTTCGTTTTGTCGAAATCTATTCACCTTGATCCTAACTTACGGGGTCAAAGGAGTAGATAAAAAAAAGCTTAATTAAAAAAAAAGAGTAGAAAAGAAAGAAAGAAAGAAAGAAGAAGAAGAAGAAGAAGAAGAAGAAGGAGAAGAAGACGAAGAAGAAGAAGACGACGACGAAGAAGAAGAAGAAGAAGAAAGTGAAATATACCGTAAGGGGATGCAGGTCGGGAGCAGCCCCGGATGTTCTCTCATGAACACGGTTCTGGCTGCTAGGGGGTTCACCGTAAGAATCAAGTTAGTAGTAGTGGTAGCCTGGTAGGTAAGTAGTGTGAGGTGAAATTGAGAGAAGAATGTTGCTTACTTTCAAAAAAAGGGAAAAAAAACGATCAAATTCCGCCCGGTCTCGTTCATTTTCCCATCACGTACTCCTGGATATTCCATCCCCCTGCATGGTGCTATCGGCCAGTTGCATTTAAAAGCACATGGTCTCTGGCTGCAGGCAGATGCAGAATACTGAGTGTATGTCAGGCAATGGGATGAAGGGGCCAGATACGCAACTGAGAAGATCGCCTATCCCTTCTCAAAGAGAAAAAGTCATCAACCAATGACAAACGTTTTCTTTTTTAATTTTTTCTTCTAATTATTATTTGTTGGTGAAATGCCCCTAAAAGTCGGGCTATTTGGTCAGATACCCCTAAAAGTCATGGGTTCAGCAAAATGCGCCTATGACAGACATGAAACCCTGTGAAATAACCCCCTCCCAAATAGGACCTGTCACACCCCTAGTGGGGCCTTGACAACTTGTCTATGTGCCCAGGTATTTCTGTCCAGTGTCCTCTGGACCCCTGCAGACTGCTAAAGAAATGCATGCCATTGGGCCCCTGCAGCCCAGGGCAAGGGCATATGGCGAAGTTGACAACAAGCGGGACGGGGGCAGATGCAGAAGTAAGGGGCATTTCAGCTTACCCCTGTGTTTAAGGGGTATCTGACAAAATACCCAGACTTTTAGGGGTATTTCCTAGGCTACCAGCTGGGGCCGTCCGGGTCAACCTATTTTCCTGGGCAGCCCGGCCGTGCAAGGACCAGGGATTCAGGGAAGGTCCCAGGCCAGAAAAAAAAAAAAAAAAATCCGAAAAAAAAACAATGTTATGTAGAAAAAGAAACTGAACAATTTTGCCTCAGGCTCCCATCGACATTCTTTACCAAATTTAAATATATATATATATATTTTAAATTTTATATCGTTTTGGCCTGGCCGGGCAAGTGCATCCGGGCCACTCTGGTAGCCTAGGGTATTTCAACAATTTTCCCTCTTTTTTTTTTACATGTTTGGATCTATTCGTGAGGATCAACGCCAACCAATGAAAAAACGTGATACGTTTAGAGATGCAATAATGAGAACCGAAGTCAGTCTTAGTCAAAGTTTACACCATGCAAAAAAAAAAAAAAAAAAAAACCCCGAAATTCCAGCTTTTTTTTTTTTAAAAAGGTCGATGGCCTTGAGGCTTGAGGTATTATCATNAGGTATTATCATCGGACTAAGCAGCCCAGGAAATTCCAGCTTTAGGGCATACTCACACTAACTAACTAGCTAAAAAAAAAACAAAAAAAAACTCGCACTAGCCTAAGGACCTTTTCTACAAAGTTGTGGACGTGATTTGCGGTCAGATCCTTCCAGCTCTGGCCGTGACTGTATTCCGATACATTCAGGAAAGTTCCTTAGGCTAGTGTGAGTTTCTGCAAAGTTCTGGACGTGATTTGCGGTCAGATTCATCGGACTAAGCCGTGATTTTCTACAAAGTTGTGGACGTGATTTGCGGTCAGATTCATCTGTTGTGGACGTGATTTGCGGTCAGATTCATCCAGCTCTGGCCGTGACTGTATTCCGATACGTTCAGGAAAGTGCTGGTGTGAGTGCGCCCTTACACACGGCTGATATACGATGGCCCGATGGGGGTGCGGGAAGACGAAAGGGAGGGGAGCAGCTGATGGGCAAACTGCTCGGACTTTGTGTTAGCAGGGCACAAAACAGCGGCCCCACCCTACTCCCTGATCAATGATTACCTCTGTTAGGGCAGGGGCCACCATTCTACCGCTTCAGTAAAAGGTACGGAAAAAAAAAAGAAAAAAAAAAAAGAAAAAAAAAGAAGAAAAAAAGGCAGCTATGCTTGCAGGATTCCCTTGTAAAGTCTCCAGATTGTTAGGAAGTGAGAGGGGCATTTGCGAAAACAACAAAATAGAAACCGACGAATCGAGCTGAAATATAGAAGACCGTTACGAAAGATATAGGGCCTCGCTCCACTATGGACTATATATGCACGAAAGTCAAAAGACATGCCTGCGTATCTTTCCATGTTCTGGCGGAAGATTCATTCTCATTTTGAGCATCTGGAGAGTAGTGGGGCGCCATAAGAAAGAGCACAACTCAACATCATTATTAAAAAACACTGCGATATGAAATGACCACCATGATGGGCAGCAATTGCCAGCAAACACACAATTAAGCAAACTCTCAGAGAGAGAGAGAGAGAGAGAGAGAGAGAGAGAGAGAGAGAGAGAGAGAGTAGGTGACTGACACTGCCCCGGCAGGTCCAAAAGCAAGCGGGTGTTATGTGTTCGAGTTCACAGATTGGTAGCTGTATGTACTATGAAGGGGAACAGTCAATCAATATGGTAAACCTTTTTTTTCTTTTTCTTTTTCTGGTCTATATATGAAAGAATGCTTGAACATCCAGAGAGCATAGCTGAAGCAAGAAAACCTTCGATTTAAAAACATGCGACAGAAAACATCCGGGGGAAACATTGGAAATTTCTTTTGCCGCAGAAAACACTCCACGGCGGGTAATACGCACTAACGGTTCAATATTTACTGTACTATCTGTACTGCTCCTCAGAGTCTGCGGAATACCCGATAGTAAAGAGAAAGATTAAAAATAATAAAATATTGCTTTTTCGAAGTTTGGCAGAGAATTGTATAAACTAAAAAGTTAACACACTATTGAAACTCAAATGAAGGTGCGCTCTGTTTAACTCCGAGCTAGCCACAGATTCTTTGCCAGTTAGCGATGGGATGCACAAGACAGAGCGCAACTGTGTGTGTGTGTGTCTGTGTGATTGTGGGGTGGGTGTGTGCCACACTCAGCCACACTGTACCACACACACACACACACACACACACACACAGAGAGAGAGAGAGAGAGAGAGAGAGAGAGAGAGAGAGAGAGAGAGAGAGAGAGAGAGAGAGANAGAGAGAGAGAGAGAGAGAGAGAGAGAGAGAGAGAGAGAGAGAGAGAGAGAGAGAGAGAGAGAGAGAGAGAGAGAGAGAGAGATCCCTTATATTTCTATCTGACTCCCTCCGCGTGAGTGTCCGTCCGACATGCCGACGCCCTCCAAGCTCGATGATGACAAGTCCACGCGTCTGACAAGCCGGTCATCCCTTTGTAACGAGTGATAAAAAACAAAGAGCTCCGTTGTGGCCAAAGTGCAAACAAATCAAGCGCACAAACCGCCAGCGACGACGAGTCCTATATGGGCGATCAGGACGCTCGAGAGGAGCACGATCGAACGGCAGATGCTCCCACTGAAACTCAGAGAGAATCCGCCGGATATGTCGGTCTTGGCCATCGCTGCACTGAAGGCAGCGTCTCTGTTACCTCCTCCGTCGGGAGCTCGCGATTCAGGAGATGATCGAGAGGCAGCGGAAATGAAGGGATATACAGAGGGACTGGACGGGGGAGGGGGAGCGGGGGCAGGAGCACTGAAACTCGGTGCCGTCGAATTGCCCAATAGCGTGGCATTTCTTCCGATGATTGTGACATTTGACCTTGAGGGGGCGGTCGACCCCGGAGACGACGGCGGGGCCGCAGTCGAAACAGACGGCAGGGATCCCGACACGTGGAGTGCAGGGGGTATAATTGCGGAAACACTCGGCGGCGGCACAGGCATACTCCGCCGCTGATGCACTACAGTGGCCGTCGCAAGGATATTTGCTTCGGATTCGAGCACCGGACTTCCAACTTGCGGGGGGCGCTCATCCCACGGCTTTGGGATCGCAACGACGACCCGTTGATGATTCCCAGCCTGAGGGGGGGAGGTGGTGCCACGCACAATCTCGCTGACGTGGCCGTCCAATTCCCCATGGGGGTCTTTCTCTGTCACAACGCCTCCAGTGGGCACATCCCCATCTTTCCCTGTTTGCTGAGCCGTGCTCAGCGTGGGCGCGCGTTGACGCACGATGTCGTCGCCCGGTGGTGGTCCCGGCAATGCCCCCTTACCTCCTACCGTCCACCTGGAGGGGTTTGACGGGGTAGTTGTTGTGACTGGTTCGGCTCTTGGACGTCCATTCTCGGCCATCATGGTGGAAGAATCGTCATCGCGAGCGAAGCTGGAACCTCCAGAAAGAGCGGGCGACGCCATAGCCACTGCAGGGGTGCGACTCCGCTTACTTCCTGTCGTCGCTTCACCGGCATCGCCATAGCCGCCGTTGGCGGCACCCATTGCTTCGTCGACATCGTTGCCCGACGGATGCAGAGTTCCTGTTCCTCGAGCGACTGTTGAGCCCACACTCGTGCCCTCCTCGGTATCTCCGGCTGCCTGATCGCCGCCCATAAAGGGCTCATTAACACCCCAATCAGTAGAACTAGATCCACCTCTGCTGGCTGCCTGTGCAGAACGCCTATCGGAACTTCTTTCCGCCGTTGTCGTGGAGGAGGTTAGCAGTCCCAAAGCAGAACGAGCACGCACGGCCGAGTGCGAGCCCGTGCAAGCTCCTGCTCGGCGCGCAGCGCCAGTTGCCGTCAGACTCTTTGCCGTTGCTGCTAAGTTAATAATCCTGGTGTCCTTGCTCGCCGCTACGCCCGCACCCGAGTTTCGAGTGAAAGGTCCTGCGGCTGTGGCTGTGCCACGTTCACCTCCTTCTTCCCAGTGGGACTCAGAGGCAGCAGAGCGGGTGGTGGTCCCAGGCGCCGAACCTCCTTCCGAATCTCCACGTGCCTCGGTTGCTTCGAGATTCGCCCCTTCGCCATCGCCAGCAGCCCCTGCGGAAGAGGATGCAGTGTGGGGATTCGAACGACCGCCGCTGGCAACGGAGCCAGTTGTGCTGGTCTCCAATGGGGAACCCCATACTCCAGCTTCGATCGTCCCAGCGTCAACGAGCACACGAGCAGAGGCGACGAATTCTTCCGCCGACGTCAGCATGCAGCAGGCTGCCATAGCCACCACGGCGAGATGAATCAAGTGGCAGCTTGTAGAAGAGACCGGCGACGATCTTATTCGGGTGCTAGAAGCCATCATCAGTCCCTCTTCCGCTCTCGAGCTGTGCGCGCAGTATCCGCTGTCCCGTTGCTGCCCACTTCCTTCGCCCAGAGTGAGGTGAATATCTGTACGTTGAGCACATGCACACATGCAGCGAACTAAGTGTGTAGTTGATCGATCACCTCGAAGAGTCTAAGGACTGGTCTAGGAGGCAGGGTTAAATGCAAACGGCATGAACGCATCGGCGAATGGTGGTGGCAGCTCGAACTACGTAGCCGGCATATGGGTCGCTGGAGTCGCTGGTCTGATAATAAGGCGAACATAACATTGCGTACTCTAGCTAGTGATCGCTAGAGCACGTCCATGTGCCTTTGGGCAACATTCACTGATGAGCGAGCAGCTTTATAGCTGATCCACAAGTGGACTGTGGGTTGATTGCCGCAGAGTGTTCACTGAATACGTGAACTGGAACTGCAGCTGGTCCGGGACTGGGAACTGAACCTGGAATGGGACCTGGACCTGGACCTGATTCAGGCACTGCTAGCGGAACCACAGTCGTAACTGGCACTCCCTCTCGACCCGAAGGCGACTCCCATGTGAGCGGAGAGGGACAGGTGGACGTCGGAGTAGGCACACGCAGACACACACGCACACGCTTTCACACATGCGCGCACGCGCACGCACGCACACACACACACACACACACACACACACACACAAATGCACATGCACACGTAGAGTCGTAGACATGCAGAGAAAGACAAGAGTCACATCTGGAGACGTATCAGTTCTGTATTCGTTCACAATGTGTCGGCTGGACTTCAAGTCGAGACAACCCCTGGGTTACGGTGGGAAATGAAATTCTGGAGAGCGTACTTGAGGGCAAGGAGAAAAACAAAGAAAAGCAAAAGGCGAGAGTCATTTGCTGACATTCCGCTTTGACGTGGCTGTTGGTTGGGTCACAAGCCGTTTCACATTTGCAGAATCAGTGCCAGATGGGCTGATTCCATCGAAGTTGCTTTTTACACTTTCGAACGTTTTTAAGTTGAGAAAAATTGTTGAAATGCCCCTGAACGTCGGGGTATTTTATCAGATACCCCTAGGGTCTAACGAAACATGGGGAATGGAGAAATCCTAAAGGAAAGGGAAAAAGGAATGGGTGCAGAAGCGGCAGAAAGGACACCCCACCTCGGGAGCCTTTAGGTGCTCGTCGTTGCCATCTGGTGCTATGTCTGGGATATCTGAAGTACGTATCTCGCCATCTTTAAGGTCTAGGTTCACCGTTTCTTACCACGAGCATTGATAGGACCAGTGCCGTGAAGTCTCACTGGTGCTCCATTTGTTCCAGTGCCGTGAAGTCTCACTGGTGCTCCAGTTGTTCCGTGGTCAGTACAAACCTTCACCCGAATAGAACGCCCGGTCATTATCGGGGCATGTGGACTGCCAATTGCCCCAAATACGGCTATAAGACAGGCAGCACTAACCTGGCGCTAACCAAGAGGAGGTTGTCCCAAATGTAGCACACTTCCACAGCATTTGTCCCATTTCAGCCTTTCAGGTTGGTTACAGACTTACAGTTTTGACAACTACCAAGCTGTTCTTCTTTGAGTCAGGACTCTGGGACTTCTTGGGGGCAGTTAGGACTCTGGGTCCGCGACCCCGGCCCTTTGGGATGCTTCGTTCCTAGCGGATGATTCTCGGCATCCTGGATTCCCATTTTCTCGGTTCTTTCTCAGGTGGATTTTCCTAGCCTACATCCGCGGCCTTCACTTCTTTTTCCAGCATCTACGGTCTACATCTTGAGACACCTGGGACTTGGGACTCACCCGGGATGGAGCTGGACCTCGTTTGACCTCCCGGCACCGCTCCCACTGCCAGCCGGCATTGGACTGCTGGAGGCAGGTTGCAAAGACTCTCGTGCTGCTCCGTCTTGAGGTCGTCCGGTTGCTGCAAACATTGCCTGCGCGAACCTGCATGCCATCCAAGCACACGTTCGGTCAGAAGGTTCTGAGGAAGGAGTAGTTCTGTCTCGCCAATTTTGGCTGAGGGCTTCGCTTGTGGTCGAAGCCTGCAGGGATCGTCGTAGCCATAGGCCCATAGTTGTCCTCTTTCTGGTTCTGTCCTTCCCTTGGTTCTTGCTCGTCAGTCGTCCTCCTCTCAATTCCTGAGGCCAGTCTGTTCCTGTCCGTGTGTGTATCCCAAACCATGAACCCTTCGACATGCAGACCTGGAGATCGCCCCTCCCCCTCTCGTGCACCATCCTCTCCGACTACCACTCACCCCTTCTGTCTTCCACAGTCTTCCATTCCCCCTTCTTCCCCATTCCAGTCTCCCATCTCCCAACCACTCTTTAATTCTTTCCTCAATTCTTACTTTGCTTCCAACTTCACCATCCTATCTCACTATACGATCCCAGCGGCTGATGAGATCAGTGAATTCAACTCTCTCGTTGCCCCATCATCACAGATCACTCCTCTTAGTCCTCTACCTCCCGTTTCAACAGATGACATTGTCTAGAGAACCTTTATCTTCGACCCCCCAACAGCCACGTTGCTTCCTTTGCACTTATGGAAATTACCTTTAATCATTCTTCGCTCTTTCAATCAAATTCAGAACTCCTACGTATAATCCCGCTTTGGCTCTCCTCTTATTCTCTTTGACCTCATTGAGTTTGTCGAACATGTGGCCTTCGCTACCTTTCACAATGATGGCAGATAGTTCTACTTCTTGAAGATGCGTTTGGGTCCCCGTACGGGGCCTGAACCTGAAGGGGTTTGGACCCTGCCTATGAAACACCCGGGGACGCGTCCGCGGGTCCGATCTCGGATGGCGGACGCAGATGGGGCCGCGTCCGCAGCCAACCTGGTCCGCACCGCGGACCCGATTTTACCAGAAATTTCCTGAATTAAATAATAGGTTAAATATATATATATATATATATGTATATATATATTGTGACGATATATATATATATATATATATGGGGTTGTAGGGAATTTTAAGCCCTACAACCCCATATTTTGTTTTTTGGAATCCGACTTTGTTTAGGATTTTTAAAAATAAAAAACTAAATTCGATTTAAAGAAAATTAAAAAAAAATTATAAAGAAAAGCTGGGTTTTTTTTTTTGTCATTTTTTATCATGAGATATATGGTCCCTGAGTTCACCTGTATTTTTTTAGAAATGAATTGCTGTTTTTTGCAGGGGTATGAGGTGTTTTAAAAAAATGCAGATGCAAAACTTGAAAATAAATAAAGAAAAAACTTCAAAAAAGGGGTTTGATTGATTGATTGTGAGTGAGTGAGTGAGTGAGTGAGTGAGTGAGTGTGTGTGTGTGTGTGTGTGTGTGCGCTGCCGCCGCTGCGCCCTCGCCGGCGCGCGGACAGCGCACTTGTGTGTGAGAGAGAGAGAGAGAGAGAGAGAGAGAGAGAGAGA